GGGAGAGGGAGAAGCAGGCTTCCCGCTGAGCAGGGAGCCCGACGACGCGGGCCTCGATCCCAGCACCCCGGGATCATGACCCGAGCTGAAGGCAGACACCCAACGACTGAGCCACCCAGGCGCCCCCTGTATTACCTAGCCTTAAAAGCCATTTTTCCAGGGTCCTGTGTGTCTCAGAGGAGTCTAAGGACTCGGGGGCCACTGCACACCCCAGGGGGTGAGGGCGCAGAGTCCCAGCGGAGGCCGGGGCCTCAAAGGGGAGAGGCCACGGCCTCCACGCACTTCCTCCGAGCGGGGGAAGCCGAATCGCTGCCGACACTACAGGAAGAAGCACTGCTCACAGCCAGGTGTGCGGCCCAGCCAGGATGGGGCAGGAGGGAGAGCTGGGTTCCAAGGGGGGAGGACAGGGCAAGGGGGGCAGGCGCTCTCCTGGCCCCGGGACACCGCGTCTCGGTAGCCCAGTGCCCAGCTTCCAGGTACTCGCCGGCACACTGGACCCGTGCCCTCCCATGTCACCTCACGTCATGCCACAGCCCCCGAGGCCACGGCCTGGCTCTCAAGGGGGAGGGAGGAGGCCACTCAAACACAGACAGCTGGGTTGGGAACTTCCCCTCAGCCAGGGGCTGGTCCCGTGGCCTCAGTAAACAGGTTTCAAAACCATTAGTCAGCACTCTGGCCTGCAGATCCGCCTCAGGTTCCCAGTCCCCAAACTGGCTCTCCAGGGTCCCAGACCCTCACCGAAGCCAGGCCCCACCTGCGGCCCCGGGGGCGCTGAGGGGACCCAGCGGGGGCCTCCCGAGCCGGCTGGGCCTGAGGTGGACCGCCTCCCCGTGCCGGCGGAGGCAGCCGGGGCCACACGGCCCCGACTGCCAGCTAGAAGGAAATCTCCGCGGGCCCCTCCCCTCCCCCAGCCTGACGCAGGGAGGGACTGGCCAATGCCAGGCCGTTGGAGCAATGTCAACAAACAAGCCGCCAGCCCAGACAGGTGGGCCAGGCCAGCAGCACCGTCCTGCCCTGGGCCTGCACTGGGGACAGGACCCACGGTCGGGCCCACTGGGTCAGACAGCCCCGAGGCCCCCGCCGCAGCTAGCTAGACCTCCGTCAGTACAGGAACGCGACGCGACCCACGGTGCCCTGCTGGGGCCGGCGGGACTCTCCCCACATATCCAGAGGAAGCCGGCGAGAGAGAAGTCTCCAGGGTCCTGCTCAGGCCTCGCAGCTGGGCAGGCCAGACAGCGATCTATACCCAGGGGTGCCCAGTCCTTCTCCCAACACGAGATCCTGGCCTAGAACCTTCCACTACCGACCAGGGTCTCAGCACCTGGCTGGCCTGGGACCCAAGCTCCTGGGGCCTGAGGCTGTGCACTGGCCAGCCTGGGAGAGTAACGCACCCCCTCCCCACCGCCAATGCAGCCCCGAGCCTTACCTGAAAGTCATACAAAGCCACGATGTTTTCATGTTTCAATTCCTAGGACAGAAACCCAAGTTTCTTAGGATCAAGGCTAGCTCACCCAACACCCTCTCCCCCTACCACTTCCAAAGCCCGCTCACCTTGAGGATCTTGATTTCCTTCCCCAGCAGTGTCTGGGACTTGGCGAGGTTTTTCTTGTTAATGCACTTGACTGCGACCTCCAGGTCGTGCTTCTGAAAACCAAGCATGGATGTTCCTCAGGGGCCTGGAACCCAGGAATCCATACAGGGCCACCCCAGGCCAGGTAAGCACCTGGGGAGGGATTCTGGTGCCAGTGGCAAGGCCCCAGGTGTGGGGTGGAAAAGACGGGGTGTCCGCGGATGTAAGGGTGAGAGACCCCGGGATGTGGGGATGGGGAGGAAGGGCCCATGGAGGGGGTGGGCATGAAAACCCCCGGGGTGTGTGGTGGGGATGGGGGGCCCGGGTGCGGGGAGGGGATGCGGGTGGGGGTCGCCGGTGTGGGGCCGGGTTGAAGGGCCCGGGCTGTGAGGTGGGAATGGGGGGATGGGGGTCCCGGGTGTGAGGCAGGGATAGAGGGGTCCCCGGGTGTGGGGCGGGGATGCGGGGACGGGGGGGCCCCCGGGTGTGGGGCGGGGATGGGGGATGGGGGCGCCCCGGGCGTGCGGCGGGGAGGAGGGGGTGCCCCCTCCCTGGGGCTCGGTCCGGGCCCGCCGGCGCCCCTCACCTCCCGGTGGCGCCCCTTGAAGACCACGGCGAAGGCGCCGTGCCCGATCAGGTCCTTGCGCGAGAACTCGAACTTGCCCACGGCCTCCAGGCCGCCGCGGCCGGGCTCCATGGCGCGGGCGGGCGGCTCAGGCGGCGGCTCGGGCCGGGG